GAAAACACATCCCTGCTTGGTTATATGTACCATCATTGATGAATTCCTGGCTACACGAAGATTTAGAGCATGTTTTTGTCACATTCGTCATCGTCATCTCGATGTTATTTTGCCTATATGTCTCGGAGAACCGCTGTGTCTCAAAGCAATCTCTTCTTTGCCAACGTTCTCCATGTTGTGGTGTTATAGTTATGCAAGCCTCCGGCACATCGATGATGGCCGGGACGCATTTCTTGTGTATATATCTCAATCGAGATACGAGACTAGCAGCATGTTAGCAATGCCAATCAATCTGGCCGACACTGAGCGCCACAGTGCCGCACAAAGACGAAACGGTCTGCCATATAGCTGACAGGATAACAGACCACTGAGCCGAACTGTACTGCAAAGTGTCCTGGAATATACCCACCCAAAGCCAAAGACATACAGGTAACAGTGGGAGATCGTAGCACATAGTACCACCAGATTGACATCTCCCGGGCACATCCAGGAACCCCGAGTTTTCCTCGCCAATAAACTATGTCTAGCAACCATCCAAAGGAGCCAGGGGTTACAAACACGACACATAGCGGGAAAGAGCAGTTAATACACACAAGAGCCTACCACTCAGCCTACCATCCCACCAACAGCCTGCGCAACGTGGGATATGCGATCGATAGCACCACTAGCCATGAGAATCACACAGAGTGTCGCTGCCAAAGTATATCTCACGATATAGAGAGGTATAAGAAATGCATCAATCCCCATACCACCAAATAGAAACAGTGCATAATCTATACATGCACAGCACCCATAGGGGCAGAATCAGGCGCCAGTGGGTCATATAAAATGAACATCTTACCCAGTGCACCAAATGCACTCGAGCAAGCCTATACCCTCAGCGGGTTGCCACCGCTAAAACGATCAAAGGAGCCGATCCCAAGAAGAAGACCATGGCCCACACGCCACAGCAAATGGATGACAGCTAAACTGGATCAGATGAACGCTCGACACCTACTGAGCGATAGGAGGTAGCACATGGCCGACGCGCGCACACCAAAGGCAAGCAGAGGAGGAATCTTCATTGACCACACCTGTCCGTAACGGAGAATCGGGAGTCGATAAGCAAAGCCTGCACACAGGGTGCGATACATAGTCAATCAGCAGTCAGCCCCGACTGTAATCTAATCTTATAACTGGAAGAGGCCCCTGCTGTCCCAAGTAAACACACAATGGAGGTAGCATCAGCATGTAGGACCTGGATGACGTTGTAGTGCCGGTCGAGAATGAGGACAGTGCATGCATGCAGCACGCCTGCGGTGTCTCCCGAGATCCAATGAGGTGCACCGGGTAGGTTGGCAACAGATGAATCCGAGACAGAACTAAGGTTCTGTCACTTGCCAGAGTCATGCCTCCCCGCCTGCTCAAAGAAGACCCCGGTCCACTTCCATGTACATACTCGTAACACATATATCCTGTGTTGGAAGGGGAGTCCCGCGGATCGGGGGGAACGATTGTAGTAGGCTGTGACGGAGCATCGCGCAATCAATAGTCTCATTTATAGATGGGGGAAGATTAATTAGCTCAGGCTAGAGAATTGTACAAGGAACAAGGTGTTTGTTTGATCGCATACCATCGACTAACGCACGGAGGACGGGATTCCATGCCGCTAAAGCAGCCACCCTCTATGGAGCGAATCAGGCTGCTATGCATGAGTGAACCAAAGCTCTGAGGGCTCGGCTGGTCAATGCCTGTAGGTACCGCAGGTACAATGCTGTCACATCCAGACCTCGGAGTATGGACCAGTATCCCGAGTTGGAAATACTAGACGTGACACACCGTCTGCCAGTGGGCTGGCCGTGCTTCCAGACATGGTTAAATCCTTACTGGTTCGATCTGACAACTGGAAAGAATAACATAGTAATATAAGCTAGGTACTAGATACCTAGTACTGATCTAGCACCGTAGCTGGAAAGGATGATGATCAACAGGCGTGCATGGCCCCCGGAGAAACTTGACATCAGATCGGCTATCTTGAAGTTCGATGGACTCAGAATGACCAGGTTTTCGGTAGCCCCAGGTTCAATGGAGACATCTAGGTGGGTACAGTATTAACTCGACCATGCGGACGGAGCAGAATGGATAAACGAGGGAGAGGGAACTACACCTTATTACGTTCTCCACCCACCGACCGTGGTGCCTGGACAGTACAATACCCATAGTACTGAAAGTCCGTCCGTAAGGATCTACTACAAATTACTGCTAGCCCAACTACCACCACTGGCAGGCACCGGATTTGCGGAGAACACAGACCTCGTCAATCAGGAGGAGGTTCTGGACCCCCATTGGCCATAAGTACAGCAGCGGCCGAATGCCATTTGGGCCAATGGTATTTGGGCTGGAGTCTGGTATAGCCGATCAATATTCCGGTTACCTTCAATGTGAGGCTTCTGTACAGGTAGAGTGCTGGATCGGATACGCTCAGATTGAATTATGTGATCGTCAAGACGATGAGGCGGCGAAAATAGAGTTGAGTGGAAGGCGACAGTCATGACATGACCCATGGAACAAACGATAAAGTGTTGTAGGGTCTGCCAGACCCGGTGGCTGGTCGCACTGACAGGTGTCTCTGGTATTACAGCAGAGATTCCCAGCCCGATAAGATGCGACAAGGTCAGCCATACATGATCGCATGCTGGAGAAGGCTAGCACCAATCATCAATGCGACCATTTGCTTGTTTTCCCTTCATGTATCCTGAATGGTAGACCGTTCAAGCAATTTGAAAAGAGTCAAACAGACACGGCGAAGCCACTCCCGAGCCCCTACTTAGCTGTACTAGACTCAGGAGAATTAATTGGGCGACGGTTGCAGCAGAAGAGAACCAGGGGAAGGAAGGAGCTGAGAAAGGAAGAATAGCGCCATTGACTCGTTGATGCTGCTAGGACGGAGAAATAGTCCCCTACGTAATGGTCGAGCCCGCGGATGGGTTGCTTGGCAAAGCAAGAGGGGAGAAAAGACAACTTAGCGACTGGCACCTGGCACTGGGCAGAGTTAGTAGACTGCCTAGTAACTTAGCTACCATAGTAGAAAGACGCCGCCGCCACTGCTGGGTTGACTGCGACTTGCAGCAGGAGCAACAGCAGGAGCAGCAGGAGCATCTCTTCTTTCTCCTTTTTTAAAAAGGTTTCTGTTTTTGCTTGGAGGGGGGATCTTTACTTCTCTACTTGTTCATACGGATACACTTTTCTTACTCTTTTTCAGATCTTGTTTTCTGATCGTCATCCTGTACGAATTACTTACCTACTCTATGTCTATGTATTTTACCTCAAGCAGTTGGAGGAACACATTATAATGCATTTCCTGGGCTGTGTTGACAAGTGATTTATTAGCATTTCAGGCTATTATGCATATATCTGGTAGTTAGCATCTGCTAACGTACTCTTTTTATTTCTTCCCTTTTCTCTTTCACCCTTTTTTTAATTTTCTTTTTTCTTTTTCGATTTCGCCCCTCCACCCCCGGGTCGGGGCCCAGTCGCCGAGACCCAGGGATACCATGGGAGGATCTCAACCAATCCACGATGCCAAGCAGACCCGGATGGTCGGCCGAAATAGCTGGTGTGGTCTGGTCTCGTCTGGTCGATGGGGATGGAAGGACGGAATCGATGGATGCACTACCGAGGGTTGATTCCATTCTAAATCGAGTCTACTGCTCATAAAAAGAGGAGGCGATATCTCTTAGTATCCGCCATTATAGTAAACTGTCATCATCTATGGAGACAGAGTCATTATCTGCGTCGTCATAGTTATCTCGTTTGCATCTGTTAGTATACAGTGTAGTAGTTAATACAGTAGTAGTATTTCTGATTGGCGAAAGAGTGCATGAGTGAATGTACAGTACACACCAGAACCCTCTCCCGATTCCTCTTTTCTATCTTTCCCTCTTTCTTCCGCTCTACTCTAGCCCTCAACCGATCCTTGCCTTCCACCCAGTGGACATGCATCCCCACTGACCGGGTAAAATACGTTCATAGGCGTCCCGAATGGGGGCCCAGATTCTCCCTTCCCAAAGTTCCAAGTAATCTCCATGCGGCATATCCTTTTGTTCTAAGGGTTCAAGAAGAGACTGTTTGGAAGGGATCTCGACTGGTGTATGCAAAGAATATGTTCTGTGGCTGCTGGTGGTGGTGCTGGCAAATGGTGAGCTAGTTGATACAGTACAGTAGTGCAGCAGCAGCAGCAGCAGCAAGAGCAGCAAGAGCAGTAAGAGCAGTAGCCGTCATTGCGACTAACTTACGGCCTGACTAAGTTGCAGTGACTTAAGTTAACTAACTTACTTACTCCGTAGTTGAGTTAGTTAAGCTAACAGTAACTTACCCGTGCCGACCACGGACATGTCTGTCTCTCCGGCTACATGGTAGAGTACGTAGTATTATTGCTGGGCCTGCTCCCTTCCCTGGTCATTTTTTTTATTCTTCTTATTCTCATTCTCTCACCCTCTCCTCTCTCCTGACCTATTTGTGTTTTTACTACGGAGTATTATGGTAACCACACACACTTCAGTTCAGTTCAGTTCAGTCAGTCAGTCAGTCAGCCAAGTACAGCAGTTAGTCACCATAATTACCAGCACTACAGCACCGCCAGCACCACCACTGAGCAATACCCACTCTTACACCAACTACGTACTATTCCCCTCCCCCTCCCTCCATCACTCCCTCCCTCCCTCTCCCCCTTCCCCCCCCCCCCCAAAATAACTAAACCATACCCGCCTGACAAAAGCCTGCCTGACCAGAGTGTGATCTTCCTCTGCCCCTCCATCTTCTCTCTCTGATAATTCGGCCGCCTGTGAACACTCCCCGTCACTTACTCATACTTCCTCACCCGACCGAGCTGGTACTGTACGAGGGTAGGTACTGTACGAGTACCAACTTACCAACTTACCAACTTACCACTTACCACTCAACCAACTTACCCGATCTTTCCTTTCCCATTCTCTCTCTTTTTACTACCCGCCGAACCGCCCGCAACCTCGAATTCCCTCTTATCCTTCCTCTTCCTC